TCTGGTTTTTAAAGACTATAATAATTTCCTAGCAAATATAGATGTTTAACTAATATAATATATGTGCTCGCTTCGCTTATCATGCTGCACGCTTCTCACACCTCCACCCCTCATCTTATCAAATTTGCAGCTTCTAATTCCATATAAAAAAAATTACTTCTTTGGGAAATTTGTCTTGGGAGCAGTGCGCGATAGAAACAGATTTAATGGCTGACCTATTCAAGTGGCGAGGGGTGTACCGATTGGGTTTTATGATGACTGGAAGAGAGATGGTATATTTTGGCGTAACCCAGTCAAAAATGTCAAAATTCTTATACGCTCAGCAAAAATATAAAATTGTTTGAATTGTATTTACCAATTATAAATAAATTTACATGATTTTTCAAATAAATAAATTAGCATTGAAATGATGACTGTTCCTCGTCTTTTCGAGATTTCAACTCTGCATCGGATATGGATAACTGTAAAAATAGCTGAATCTAACCATCATTTCTATATCTTCAGATTTTCAAAGACTAAAGAAGAGGAAGAAGAGTTTATGGAATCTGATTCCGGTTTGGTAATGATGAGGATAACATAAACTGCGGAACGCTTAAGATTTATTTTAGAATATTATTGAAATATATATATGGAAATTAAATGGCAATCAGATCATAATTTATATATATACACATTATAGATCTCTACAGACAATATACAATCCCTACTCAAATAGAAAATAGAATAAATATTTTATTTCTATATTTATTATTCGGTATTCCTTCGAGAAGACTATCGATTCATTTTTGAAACTCATGTTTCTGCAAACGGATACATTTTTCAAATTGATAGAATTTAGAATTTAAACACCAACATTTTTTAATTTTATTCTATTTTCTTAAATTTTTGGGACGTATTTTGAAGTTTTTTAAAAGACTTCTTGCTTGTTAAAAGAGTTAAAAAAGAACAACTAATTTTGGTTGAATTTTAAATATTTACATTTTCAGCAATTGAATATGAATAAATTGAATTTGAATTTGAACATTTTGCAATCCATTCAAATCCATTATGGATAATAAGTTCTTTTCTCCTTTTCTCTTATTTTGTTTATATATATTTTTTAATATATGTAATTAGCAGTCCATTAGTTGTGCATTGACTAATTGGAATAGGCCATGCACTAGCAGCAATTTTAACCGCTGTCTGATTGCCATTAATCGATTAGCTAACTTTAGTCTGGGTGCGTCCTTTAGTTCCTCTGGCCGGGAGAGAGATTAACGATCTGCATGCGAGTATTTTAAGTCACTTAAGTCATTTATTGGTATCCATTTGAATTACTTTACACACACACACGCACACACATTGTGAGTCAAAGAAAGGCCGCAACTTGAAACCACATGGAGTCTTAACAAAAGACTAGATTTCTCAGATTACGTTGACAAGCAGCTCTCCTTATCAGATATTATATCTCACTCACACACACAAACACACTCGCAACCACACACGACGAGACAGAGAGAGTGAGAAAGAGAGAGAGGAGAGTCTGATTTTTCACCTACCAATCATAGAAGCATTATTTGAATTCTTTATATCGCCTACAAATTAAAACACAACTCGAGAAATTCACAAAAATTGAAGAACAAGTTAAGCGCCAACGAGACGCGTCTGTTACCGCCAAGCAACGTTGAACGAGTGGCAAAGGTTGCGCACAAGCAGCTCACGCGAAGCCGAACTAGACACACTTGCTGCCAGCCGATTGGCTCAATGAAAGCTTAGCTCAGGATCTGATCGCTTTTAGCGCGCTCTACGTAAGCTCGACGGAGAGTAAGAGCCGGCATGCTATTGGTTAGCTGAAAGGAGCGAGAGCACGTTTGGTTTGTGACACGGCTATGGCCTGTTAGCCGAGACATAAAACATAAGCTTGCGCCTCCTCCACAAGCCAACGAGAATAAAGAGTTGAATTATCTCTTAAAGCTTCACTTGAATCGTGTCTAAGAAAGCTCGTTTCTTTTTTTATTTAAATAAAAACATTTGTTCACATTTAAAAAATTTATTTTATTTTGTAGTTTTCTTTTATTTTTTAATCAACTATTACACTGAGAAAAATTAAATTGCAAAATATAATTAAGCACATAAATCATTAAATATAAATATTTACAATATTCTGTTTGTCAGTACATAAATTAATGAGATCATCCCAAATAGTCATTGTTCTTGGAGATTATCTATATTTATATTTCAACAATTAGAACTTTATGCGTTTTTCAGTCCCCCCACTCCCCTTCCAACTCCTCCCACTCTATATTACCTTAAAAGTTGCAGGCGCTGCGTCAATGTTGTTGTTGTTGCTTTTTGTCATAGTTTCGGATTTATGACAAACAGTCGCAACCAGTTTATTATTTCCGAAATTACTGTTAATGTTTGTTGTTGGCCCAAAATGTCACTATTTAAATTTTGTTCACGCATCAAAATCAATAATAATTAAAAAAAAATAGAAAAAAAATAATATATATATATATATATATATGCAGATATATAAAATAAATGGAATTATTTCCAAAAGCTTACATTCATTGCGTACATATGCAAATAGAAGTCTTTAATTACATTTTAAGAAATAAATATTTATATATATTCTGGGGAGTAGAGTATAAAAAAGTCGTTGCAATAATTTGTGGGCATTCGCATTCATAAAAATAATTACTCCAAAGTATTGAAAAAGACAATGAAACGTGTTTGGTTTTACCTGATAAGTTGTTGCTGTTGCACACACACACACAGCCAGACACACACACATAGATAGAGTCATTCATATAAGTACACACACCTTATATGATTAAATACAATATATAGAAGTTATTGTAGTTGTGTCGTTCCTTTTAATTGTCATATTCGACTCTCGAGGGCGGTCACCGAGGGTCGCTTTAAAAGTGATGAAACAATTGAAATTGTAACTCATCAAAAAATACAACAACAAAAAAACAAAAAAACAAAACTCTGAATTGCTCACATTTTGAAACTGACTTATCATTGATGGAAACATTTTAGCCACAAGGCAGCAAAATGTGTAGAAAAATGTTAAATTTTTAAACTCGCATTCAAAGTTATATAAGAAATTGCCTTGCATCAATTATCAATTGGGAAATTCGGGTTTTGACAAATCCGAATTCAAAATGGAAAAATCTAACGAAATTTAACAAATGTTAAGATATTTTCAAAATGAATAAAGTCTGATAAAAGCCGTTCTACACTGAGACTATAATATTAAACAAATTATTTGTATTTATAAATACTTTTTTAAGTAGCTGTTTTTTTTAGCTCTCTTCCTGTGTCTGTGTCTGACAAATGTAGGTCTTTATTGCGCTTAAGCAGACGACTTTAGTTTATTACCCAAAAGAAACACAGAATACCGCAAAAGGCAATGCACAAAATATTTATTCAAATTATTCGATTCACACACACACATAAGTGACAATCAGAAAGATACAAAATAACAATTGTATGTACTTGGCCAACACCTGCCTCACACCTTCCCTCCCGGCGAGGCCCACCCACCCCCCTAAACTACGACCAAGAGGCTGACGCGTGGGCTTGATAATCGTAAGCACACACTTACTCACACACACACACACACATATATATATATATATATATATATATATACGCACTTGTGTGTGCAAGAGCCGACAAACTGGGCTCAAAAATGTAGAAATTATGAAAATGACAGTTAAAGGCACAAAACGTACGCCAGCCAGCTGAATAGAGGATTGGTGTGTGTGTGTGTGTGTGTGTGTGTGTGTGTGTGTATGAGGGGGAGGGGGGTGTGTGTTGTGTGTATTATTGTCGACAGACGGGCAAGTGAAATAAATGCGGAAACACTCGTTGTCAATATTAATATGACGAATATGGCAAAACCAAATCCGAAAACTCAATTCAACACACGGCACATAAAATGCCACATTTGGCACACCCCCTCCCCACCCCTCCCCTACCAATACCCACCCCCTGCTCACCTACTCTGAAAGCCTATCAATGCAAATAGGCGCAAATTCCTATGTGAGTGTATATATTTATATATATATATATATATTTGTATAGTATGCATAGGCATTAGTTAGGGCGCGTTGGAGGCTAGACAAACCAAAAAAAAATAAAAAAGAAACAATGAAAATAGTATTAAAGAAAAACTATTTTAAAAGCGATAAGAGCAAAACATTTTTAATCATTTCAGCTAAATAAATATGTAAATCATATTAGCAAAATAAATGTATATATGTATTTATATAAAAGTCTACTTCAGTCGCAGATTTGTAAACAAAAAGATTTATTAAGTGAAAATCGCACTAAAATTGAGAAATTGACATCAATGGGAAACTGTATACAGTATGTCAATAAAGTGTTTGGACACTGGACAATATTCATATTTTCATATATATATAATCGTACAATTGTATATTTAAATAACGGAAAATTGTGTTTTTCTGAATAGCAATTTCTTACATCTCTTAATTCAAGTCTACAATTTTCTACAATTTTTTTATTTTTTTTTATTAAAATTTGTCCAATTTAAATGGTGCATTTTTTTATGTATATAAATTGGCTAAAATTAGCATTAGATTTTTTCTTACTTTTATTATTATTAAAAACTTGAGTTTCCAATTTACATAGTTTATAACTTATATAATTTTGGTTGAAAACAAAATCCAGAAAATTGTTCTTTTTTTAAGGCGACTTTCACAGAAGGGCGATTTCCTACATTTTCGGTAATTTCTTTTTTGAGTGTATGGAAAGATAGATGGAGTAAAATATTGCTCCGATTTTAGAAAATTGTCTCTGAGCAATTCAATGATATAATAAATATTTTTTAAATTTGCTGATTATTGAAAAGCAGTTCAAATTTGTTCACAGTTTGAGTACTGTACATAAAGTACTGATGAACTTTGACAATTCTGATTGTACATTGAGAGATAGTGAGAAAGTCAGAGAGAGAGAGAGAGAGAGAGAGAGATTGTTTTACTTACGCTTTTGTAGACCTCCACAAAGCGATTCTTTGGCGGTCTGCCGCGTTTGCGATTAAAGAAACCATCGATTGAGGTGATTTGTGTGGGCGGAGCGGCCAACTCGTTGCTCTCGCTGATGGTGGTGGCATCCACATCCGTTGACTCCGTGCCACTGCTGATGTGCTCCATGCTATGCCAGCGCAGTCGACCCGGACACTTCCCTTGCACCCGTTTCCCGCTTATCTTTTAGGTTTGAGGGCACTTGCTGAAAGCGACACGAATTTCAATTGCAAATTGATACCTTGGGAATGCAATTGGCAAATTGGTAATGCCAAACAGTTTTAGCCAAAAAAATAAATAATAAAAGACGAAAAAAAGCAAACAGAAACACAAAAATGTGACTCATAAGCAGCTCACAAGGCGGAGGTTAATGCCGCACAGGCGCCAGTCAGCAGAAAAAGAACACCTTAGTTGTGAGAGAGCTCGACTAGCAGATACCCTGCAGCCAGCTATTGCATATAGTCGATATCGATATCGATATCGATAAAAGCACAGGCTGTAGTCATATTTGCAAAATTTCTCTTTAAGTTCATTTTGCAATTGTTCTTATTTCTTTCGACTTATGCAGATATATATATATATACAAATACATATAATTATATATTTATTTGCTTATCATTGTGTGTGTGTGCTGATAGTGGATTGTTCAATATGAACAGACAGCCTGAGAGACAGAGAGACAGAGAGACTTGCATGGCTTAATCGACTCGGCTTTTGTTGCTGATCAAGAATATATAATCTGCAATATATAATATATACACCCGTAACGGGTGCGTCTTCCAACACTGTTATGATACATTGGAATACAAGTTCCGTTAGTTTTGTCAAAGATCTTTGGGTTTTTCCCTTCGTATGGTTTAATTATTGGTAATAAACAGATGTATACAAATTTGGAATGGGCATGGAAAAAAACACTCTAACCTGAGGAAGTAGCGAAGATCCTTGTTTACAAATATCAATTATATTATGTGGATCGGCATCAATTATATTATGTCGATCGGCAATTGATGATTTGTTAAAATTAAAAGAAAACTAAAACAAATAATGCTAAAAAACCAACATCAAACAATTATCACACAGGTAGAAATCTGCAATCTTATGGCCTGGGTCCAGCCCATAAAAGTGCTACGGCATCTAATATTCGATTTGATTTAAGGTTACAAATATCGAAACATCGTGTTCAACAAATTTGATCAGAAAGTACTCGATTGGTTTGGAAGACAATGAGAGAGAAAATGAGTAGCTACGAAGGCCGAAAGCTATCTGAGTTCTGAATAGTTGTTGAATCGATGTCAATTCGAATTTTATTAGTTATAAACAAATATGGAGGCGGAACACATTATGAAGTTGCTATTTTCATATTATATTAATTTTATTAGCACTGCCTTTAATCGAATTTCGCAACTTAACCTTAAAATTAAACTTGAACTTAACTGTTAAAAATTAATACAAAATGTTATGTTAATTTTACAAATTTAATTCCTTTTTTATTTGACGTGCATTTAAAACAGCTAACTTTTGTGGAAAACATTTTTTTAATTTTATTTTAAATTTTATAATGAAAAAACCAAGTGCCTTTAATCGAATTTCGCGGAGTGTATAAACTTTATTGGGTCTGATTTGCTTCCAACTGCCTGCATTTCTTTATTATTGGAATTCACATTTCAAATGAAGATCAACAGATATTCCATCTTCAAACTGAACTTAAACATATTTATATATGTTCATCTACAGTAGACACAATTGAAAGTATTCCCATTTATTTGTCTACTCTCTTTAAGATTTGATACTCATCATACATATTTATAAATGGGGAACTAAGTTCAATCGTTTCTAAAATGAGCACTAGTTCAGTTATAAATAATTAAATATCTATTATGATTCTGTCAAATAAAATTTGATGCTATTGCGAAATAAATATATATATATATATATATATATATATATATATATATATATATATAGGTCACACTTGTCTGTCTACGCTTATCTGTTGCCGTGAACTAAACAAATTTGAGCAAAAGCTCGAAATTAGAACCTGATCCAGGTTCCTCTAAAGCCATTGACGTCGTCTATTATCAGTGGTACTTGACAACATCGTTCAATGCATATAAAATGCTATAAAATGTCGGTAGTCCGACTCTGAAGAATTAGTCTCATCTGTTTCTATTGACACCAATTGGCCATAGTAGGAAAAATGGAATTAAATTGGGTTTCATTTACTTTATGCATAAGTCTGATCCTGATCAAAGGCGAATCCTCTTTCGTAACTACAGCTACGACAAATGAAGTGAGTAAATAAGAATTAATTATATTAGACAAGCGAGTTATTCCAATTCTAAATTATATCAGATCTGCAAAGCATCAAGGAGAGAGGAGGAACAATGCGGATCATATGCATATAAGGCCATCAAACCACTGCTCATCTACATGGAATTGATGAGGACAGAAGTGGAGAACTATGATAATAAAACATCCACTATGAATAGGGAAATAGAAGAGAAACAATTGAAGATATCCAAACTTGAATTAGAATTGAGAGAGCAGATTTATAAGGGATTGATCAGCAGTAAAGACAATGAATTAACGCAGCAAAAGTTAGACCAGCAAAATGTATATAAAACTATCATTCAGGAACTGAGAGAGTCGCAGAAGAAACTAGTTGATCAAAATGAAAATGTCGCCACCATACAGGAATTGAGAAATCAGATAGATTTATACAAGAATAACAATGACAATTTGCAATCAATCAGGAATGAATTAAAGAATTTGCAATCAATCAGGAATGAATTAAATAAGCTCAATTCACTAAAATATGAGGAATGCACAAGTGATTTAATCACCAAACAAAAACTTCAAATCGACAGCGATGCAATCAAATTGCAGGAGTTTAAGAAACAGTTGGTTGAACAAAAGAAATCCATTGAGGAAAAGAATCAACAAATATCCAAATTACAAAACGATGTAAAACAATGTGTAATGAAATTGGAGGACCCAAAGCAGAAACCCATTATTAGTTGCACATCTTTTGGAGATGTTCCGGGGGCTCATCAAACCAGTTTCTCTAATTATTCCTTTGATGTCTTATGCGACACGGAGACAGCAGGTCCTGGATGGACAGTTATCCAGCAGCGAATCAATGGTAAAGAAGATTTCAACAGGTCTTGGACAACATACCGCGAAGGCTTTGGTTCCTTTGATGGAGACTTCTTCTTGGGCTTGGAGAAGATCCATCGCTTAACGAGCTACAAACCCCATGAACTTTATGTACATCTGGAGAAATTTAATGGCAAAGTTAGATATTCGAGATATCAACAATTTGCCATTGCTGGCGAAAGCGATGAATTCCAGCTGAGCTTAAGTGGATTCAGTGGCAATGTCAAAGATATGTTGTCAATATATAACAATAATAAGAAATTTTCGACATATGATCGTGATAATGATGACAGGAATGATGTCAATTGTGCATTAGCAAAACTTGGTGGATGGTGGTACGCTGGCAATTGTAGATTTGGGTAAGTAAATGACTCTCTTCATCATCTCTATTTATATATTTAACTGTTTTCTTCTTTCCCTCTACAGAAACTTAAATTCAAAGTACTATGACAGTCATGATGACTGGAGAAATGATGGTATATCTTGGTATAACCCAGTCAAAAATGTTAAAATGCTTATTCGCCCAACATGTATATAAAAATGATGCAAATGTAATATGAATTGTACTTTGGAATTGTAAATGCAATTAAAAATTAACTCTCAAATAATTAAATTAACACTGTAATTACATCAAATTTTATGAATTTCTACTTCCGTGGTTTCAACTCTCCGAAGGATAACTATATAACTTTATAAATACCTGAATATATCTTCTGGTTTTTAAAGACTATAATAATTTCCTAGCAAATATAGATGTTTAACTAATATAATATATGTGCTCGCTTCGCTTATCATGCTGCACGCTTCTCACACCTCCACCCCTCATCTTATCAAATTTGCAGCTTCTAATTCCATATAAAAAAAATTACTTCTTTGGGAAATTTGTCTTGGGAGCAGTGCGCGATAGAAACAGATTTAATGGCTGACCTATTCAAGTGGCGAGGGGTGTACCGATTGGGTTTTATGATGACTGGAAGAGAGATGGTATATTTTGGCGTAACCCAGTCAAAAATGTCAAAATTCTTATACGCTCAGCAAAAATATAAAATTGTTTGAATTGTATTTACCAATTATAAATAAATTTACATGATTTTTCAAATAAATAAATTAGCATTGAAATGATGACAATTCCTCGTCTTTTCGAGATTTCAACTCTGCATCGGATATGGATAACTGTAAAAATAGCTGAATCTAACCATCATTTCTATATCTTCAGATTTTCAAAGACTAAAGAAGAGGAAGAAGAGTTTATGGAATGTGATTCCGGTTTGATAATTATGAGGATAACATAAACTGCGGAACGCTTAAGATTTATTTTAGAATATTATTGAAATATATATATGGAAATTAAATGGCAATCAGATCATAATTTATATATATACACATTATAGATCTCTACAGACAATATACAATCCCTAATCAAATAGAAAATAGAATAAATATTTTATTTCTATATTTATTATTGGGTATTCCTTCGAGAAGAGGGTCGATTCTTTTTTGAAATTCATGTTTCTGCAAACGGATACATTATTCAAATTGATAGAATTTAGAATTTAAACACCAACATTTTTTAATTTTATTCTATTTTCTTACATTTTATTAATATATTCTTAAATTTTTGGGACGTATTTTGAAGAACTCGATTGAAAGACCTGCCACAGCGTTCTCTATCACTGCAGTACATCAGTTGCAACAGTTGCGCAAGTTGCAACATTGCATTGCAGTGACTCCTTTTGGCTGGGCTATTTCCAAGAACGGTTTGCATATGAATCATATTAAAGTGAAGATTGCATAAATTTTATGAATGCAATTCTGGAATAACTAACAAACTGCTTGCTGCAAATGGTAAAAGATAGTTTTTTAAAAGACTTCTTGCTTGTTAAAAGAGTTAAAAAAGAACAACTAATTTTGGTTGAATTTCAAATATTTACATTTTCAGCAATTGAATATGAATAAATTGAATTTGAATTTGAACATTTTGCAATCCATTCAAATCCATTATGGATAATAAGTTCTTTTCTCCTTTTCTCTTATTTTGTTTATATATATTTTTTAATATATGTAATTAGCAGTCCATTAGTTGTGCATTGACTAATTGGAATAGGCCATGCACTAGCAGCAATTTTAACCGCTGTCTGATTGCCATTAATCGATTAGCTAACTTTAGTCTGGGTGCGTCCTTTAGTTCCTCTGGCCGGGAGAGAGATTAACGATCTGCATGCGAGTATTTTAAGTCACTTAAGTCATTTATTGGTATCCATTTGAATTACTTTACACACACACACGCACACACATTGTGAGTCAAAGAAAGGCCGCAACTTGAAACCACATGGAGTCTTAACAAAAGACTAGATTTCTCAGATTACGTTGACAAGCAGCTCTCCTTATCAGATATTATATCTCACTCACACACACAAACACACTCGCAACCACACACGACGAGACAGAGAGAGTGAGAAAGAGAGAGAGGAGAGTCTGATTTTTCACCTACCAATCATAGAAGCATTATTTGAATTCTTTATATCGCCTACAAATTAAAACACAACTCGAGAAATTCACAAAAATTGAAGAACAAGTTAAGCGCCAACGAAACGCGTCTGTTACCGCCAAGCAACGTTGAACGAGTGGCAAAGGTTGCGCACAAGCAGCTCACGCGAAGCCGAACTAAACACACTTGCTGCCAGCCGATTGGCTCAATGAAAGCTTAGCTCAGGGTCTGATTGCTCTTAGCGCGCTCTACGTAAGCTCGACGGAGAGTAAGAGCCGGCATGCTATTGGTTAGCTGAAAGGAGCCAGACCATGTTTGGTTTGAGACACGGCTATAAACTGTAAGCTTGGGACTCCAGTCACAAGCCAACGGGAATAAAGAGTTGAATTATCTCTTAAAGCTTCACTTGGTTCGTGTCTCAGAGAGCTCGTTTCTTTTTTGATTAAAAAAAAAAACATTTGTTCACATTTAAAAAATGAATTTGTGTTGTAATTTTCTTTTATTTTTTACTCAACTTTTACACAGAGAAAATTGAAATTGCAATATCTTGCATTTGTTTTGTATTTAAATACATATATATATATATATAGTCATACATATATATATATGTATTTCATATTTTGATTAATTAAAATTTGTTAAATTGCTAGAATTTGTTAAGCGCTACTAAAGTTTAAATTTGTTTGTGGTTTTTACATACATATATATGTATATATATATGTATATCGTATATTAATATTGTTTGTTTTTTTGCTGTTGCTTTGTGTCCTTCTTTGTAGGCTTTATGTGTGTGTGTGTGTGTGTGTGTGGGTGTGGGTGTGTTATAGATATAATATATGGAAATTGTTAAACATTACTTCTAGTCACATACATATATATTGTATGTATGTATGTGTAGCTACTTGATTTACAACATTGACTTTTTTACTCCCATTTTCGAATGTGTTTTGATGGCGAAATTGGTTTAAGCAACTTGTTAACTTAAGTTGAGTATTTGTTGAATTGAATTTGGTTCTTTCGTCATTTCTAATAACAATAATTATAATGATATAATGACAATGACAATACAATTAATCATCTAATTTTTGTTTTTCTTTTCTTCTCTTGTCTCTAATGGCATCTTAAGTTTTGCATAATTCGGTGATTGTATCGAGTCAACAAAATTACAACAAAATATAATATAATATTATTATAAGTATTTCCTATTTAGGTTGTTTTTTTTTCCCCAAAAATCAAAAATCAACTTGTTTGCAGTTTTATACATAAATGAAAATAAAGAGTTCGTATTTAATCACATGGTGGGATAATCGCTTAAATACATTTTTTATATGTTTTTCTTCTTCTTTTCTGTTTTTTATTACAAGTTAGTTAATATATTGCATTTGAATATCAAAATGTTCAATGTGTGTGTGTGTGTGTGGAGAGAGAAGTGTAGTTTATTTTCGACTTCTTCGCATTTCTTCAAGTATTTTTTTTATATTGTTTTTTTTTTTTTTGAGTTGATTGTTTATGATTATTTCGAAAATTGTCGAGATTTGTTCCCTTTCTAACATACACATACGCACACACACACACACACACACATGCATACATAGATACTACCTATATATATATATATATATATATATATATATACATATATATATATACATATATATATATATACATATATATATATACATATATATATATACATATATATATATATTTATATATATATGTGTACATTATATATACATATAGGAGAATGTAAAAACTCTACAATTGAAACAGACACAGACACATATATTCGTTTCATAAATATAGTACTATATATATCATATTCATAAATAGCTAATTATCCATAGTTTGGTATTTAAATATTCTTTCCATCGTTTTCTTTTACCTTTTTTTTTTTTTTTTTATATATATATATCATTATTGTTTACAAATACTTTGAGGAGCACTGGACGTGTCTAAGATTCAAGTTCTTTATACATTTTACACCCATCCATTTTGGAGAACAACAAACCAAAAATGCGACAAATGCAAACAAAGAAAATAACTCGACAAAAAATGTGTTCAACATTGAAAGCTTTGCGTTCTACGATTTTAAGAATATCTTCTTCAATTTTTTTTTTTTTAAGCATGGCGTACAAATAAAACAAAATTGTTTAAGTGGCAAATTATATTTTAAGTTCTACAAATTAAAAGGTTTACATTTATTTATGCAATACTTTAGTATTATGATTTAAGAAAAAAAAATCAAACGTGTCAAATTTCTTTTTTGTTTTTGTTTTTTTTTTTTGTTGTTTATTATTAAATAGATCACATTCATGGTTCTATTTTTTCACTTGCTTGCATAGTTTTTATGTTCACATTGTTTTTTAGCTTTTTTTGTTTTGTTTTTTAATACATTAGATACGCTTAGATCATGTTGTTCTGGTTTTTTTTTGTCGCTGCTCTATTTACATTTGTTTTTCTTTTTTTAATAATTTTAAATGTAAGCAACTTAAAAACTGAAACGATATGCGAATTTGTCTTGTTTCTATTTTGATATAAGTTCGGTTTATTTATTATTATTTTTGCTTTGATTTTTTTTTTTTTGAGAATTTTTAAGGAGAATGCTTTGAAACTGAACTGTTAAATATAAATGTTTTTTTTTATGGATATTTTTTCACTTTTAAATGTAAAAGTTGTCGTTTTTTCTTCATTTTTTTTTTGTGTTTAGCTTTTGCTTTATACGAGATCTTTTTTTGGGGGGATGGGTTGAAGAATAATAATAAATAAATTCTGTTTGTTTTGTGTGCATAAATTATTAAAATGTATTCTAGCTTAAATTTTTGTCAAATACTTGTAGCTTTTTCAGATGTAATATTTTTTGTTGCAGCTCTATATAAAAAAAAAAATGTTACAATCGGCATTTTACAATTTGTTAGATTTGAAATTTGTTTTCAGTTTTTGTTTAGTTATGCTACACTATAAATTATTTTAAAATTTATTAACACAGATGACTTTATAGATTTCTTTCGTTTTTTTTTCCCCAAACATTTTCATTATTTGCCCAAAATTGTCAATTTCTTGATCAGTTTTTTTTTAGCCGATTTTACTCATATTAACACAAACACCCAGCTGCCACACAGTATATATATAATATATATATATGTATATAGTAAACATGCTTATTGATGAATTATGCATTTATGCCAATTGTTAAGTGTCATTTTGTTGTTGTAATTGTTTAATATACTAAACTAAAGTTAAACACACAGCTACACACATTGAATTCTCTGCTTTTGTTTGGTTTTTAATATTAAAATCTTAATCTAGAAACACATCAAATATTATAAATATATATAGACAGACAGAGTTTGGAACTCTGCACAAGAAAAAAAATTGTAAGCAAAAATAAGACAACAGAATAAATTGATTTGAATTGTTTGTGGCTAATTTGTTGAAAACATTTCTTTGTTCATTAATTATTGTGTTGCGCGAAAAACGTATTTTCGAGATATCGTTTTTAAGGTAATACAAATCAGATATATTTACGTGTACAAAGTATTCAAAATTTCTTCATCTGCTTGTATGTATATATATATATATATATATATATATATATATATATATATATATATATATATATATATATGAGTGTGTGTGTGTGTGTTTGTTTGTTTTGTGTTTCAATATTCATAATTATTATATATAATATCACATCAACTTTGTTTTTTATTTTTATTTTTATTTTTTGTTTGCATCTGCTTCTCTTCAGTTTCTGCTCAACACTTTTGCCTTATTGTTTGTTTATCATATATAAATATTTATATATATATATATATATGAGCATATATAAATTTTGTTTTTCTTTCTAATATACATATATACATATATATACGCAAGTATGTATGTGTACATAGATTTTATAGCCTAATAAGATCGCGAAGAAAGACATACATACATATCCATAAGTACATACATATATATATGTACATATATCATAGATTTCTTGCACATATTTTATACATATGATCAACTAGCACATTATATAGAATTTGTATTTGCTCTTTTTATATGATACATAACTCGCTCACTTTCTCGTCATACATAGCTTATTCGATTAATACTCTTTTCTTTTATTTTCTCTTACTTTTGGTTTTTTTTTTTTTTTTTTTTTGCTTTTGTTTTGGTTTAACAAAAAAGAAAAAAAGAAATAAAAACAAACGGATAACCGGCAACCGTTCACTGAGTGAAATTTTGTTGAATTTTTTCCCTTTTGTTTACAATATTTTTAATATTTGTGTTTTCGTTTGTTTTTTTTTTGTTTTTCAAAAAGTTCCTTTTTTTATAAGCCAAAAAGTCAGTCCAATAAGAGTTTTAAGTTGCCTGCAACTGCAGTTGATTTGTGTTTTTTTGTTTTTTGTTTTGTTTTGTTTTGTGTTTTTAGTAATGCTTAAGGTTTTAAGGTCTCAAAATACATCATTGTTGTTGGTTTATATTTGTTGTTGTTGAGTTGATTTGTTGATTTTTGCTGGATTAGTTGAGTTCTGGTCCAAAGTTTGTTTGCCTCTATGGGTTCATTTCTTGTTTTTAATTTTTTTTTAAATGATTTTTTAGTGAAAGACGAAGACGTGTGGGGGGGGGGGGGGGGCGGAAATGGAGGGCGGGGGTGCGGCGCTTACATAGTGAAAGCTGCTGATATTCGCTGTTCTTTTTAGCCTGCTACATTTTCATCTTATTATTATTATTTGTTGTCGTTGTTGTTGTTCATCATTTACTTATTCGGAGGGATTGTGTGTAATGAGTTGAGAACAGCGCCACATCCACATCAACGACCTCCACATATATAAATAAATATATATATATATATATATATATATGTATATGCTTGCCTCATTGTTTTGTTGTATCTACTCGGAGGAGTAGAGCTTGTTCTTGGTCAAAGTAAAATCGGGACTGATCACAATCGTATTGCTGCGCGTTAGATTTCTATGCAAAGAGATAAGTCAATTATTATAATTATATATTTAAAGTCAATTATTATAATTATATATTTAAAGTTTTAATTGATATAAATGAATTCAACTCACTTGATAAACTGCGGCAGTCGGGATGTCCAGCCGCTCTTGTCCTGTTTGAGCGTCAGATAAAGCTCGAAAATGGAAACAGTATCCGGGTCCACTTTGAACGAGGCAATGCGCCTGCAAACGAATAAACAATAATTATAAAATAGTCCAGTTGTAACTCTGAGCTTTAATGCTCTTATATGCGCAGAAGCAACTGCAACTGCTGAGCTTAAAAAATCATACATTCTGCATGGAATTCGTAATGGGAATCTTTTCACTGCCGGAGTAATTGGAGTAGCAACTGCTAAGCGAATTAGCTCAAAAGCTCAAAAGCTGATCTCAAAGCTCTCTGTCGCTGTCGCTGTCTCTATCTCTGCCGCACTCACCTGACGTTGTTCGGCTCGCTCTCGAACTCAATGAATATGGTGCAGGCACGCTCGCCGCACGGCTCTCGCTCCGACATGCGTATTATTTCGGCGGCAATGCGCTGCATGAGATCGTTGGGCAGCGTCACCTCGGTGCAGGCGAGATGCTCGCTCTTTGCATCGCGCAGCTTTGCCTGCAGCTGCTGCGAAAGCTCCTGCACAGCGCTGGCGCTCACATCGTCCAGATTGTCAATGGCGCCGATGCGTGACGCCGACGTCGACTGCAGCGGCGACGCTGGCATCATGCTGGGCATGTAAGCGATATCAAAATTGGCCGCCATTGGCTTAATGGACGCCGATGCTGCGGCGGCAGCTGCTGCTGCTGCAGCGGATGATGATGTTGAAGAGTTGGAGGAGAGACGCGGTCGCGTGTTGAGCGATTGATGCTGACGCATGTGCAGCACCGATGCCGGATGCCCATCAACAACGTCAACATCAACGATATCCACGTTTGCGTGGTTCGCAGTTGCTGCGACTCCCACCGTTGCTGCTGGTGCCGTTAGCGGACTCGTCCAGTCTGCGAAGAGATTGCGTGAAAGGAGAGCAGAAGGAGAGGCTTTTTTTAGTCACTACATCGACCGGCAAAATTCACACAAAAGAAAAAGCAGAAAAAAACACTGAAATTGAAACCAGACTAAAAGAAACCGAAAAAAAACAGCTGATGTCTGCGTTGCGCCACCGGCAAAAAGCCTTGCAATCATTCACATAACACAAACACACTCTCTCTTTCTGTCACTCACTCTCTCTCGCTTTGTCTTGCGCAAGCTCGAAATTGCACTCATTGGCTGTGCGCAGACTCGGCAAACACACTCAATGCTTCCATGGCGCGGGGTGAGCTGAAATCACCTGGCAACAACAGCTGGAAAATCAGCCGTTCACTTAAGCCACATTTACCCCTACCTCCCCCACACTTCTCTTCAACAACCAGCCAGCCATTAGGTAATGCGTTGCGCTCTCTTCGCCCCTCTCCCTTCCTGTATCTTTATATCTCTCGTACATACGGCCTCATCGTTTCCAGCTGACGATTGCGTTTCGTCCGTCTCGTCCATCGTCCGTCGTCCCCATCTCCGTTTTGCTCGTTTCGTTCGTTAGTCAGCAGTTTCTTTTGACTGTGCAGCAGTTGCTGCTGTTCTCCATTTCCCCTTCCCCCTTATCAATCTTCTACACTTTGGCTCTTTTGCCTTTGGCTGCTAAACACAGTTTTATTTTTTTTTTTGCTTGTGCAGTTGTTATTTTAATACTCATACAAATACAAAACGCTAAGTGAGCACAGCAGCCGCACAGTAGAACCAAACTAAAGGAAACGTCTAATCAAAGACATGAGAAATATTAAATGTAATATTGTTCGCTTTGACACACACAACAATGACAAAAATAGCACAACTTTTTTATTTGATTTTTTGTTTACTTCAAATTTCTATTTCTTTGAATTCCCATTAAATTGAATTTTCTACCAGTGTTTACATTAAACATTCATGTATTTTGTTTTGGAGTGTGTTTATTTTAGGGACCTGTGTGTAAATAAATGAAAAAGTTAAAAAAAAAAAACCTATACCTAACTGTTGTCCCATTCCTCATAATATATACATACATATGTATTTATGTAAAATTAACCACTTTGCTTGACTCGACGACGATTTCATGTAATTAGCTCTAAAGCTCTTTGTGATGTCTCCCATACATACATATATACATACATACAATGCTGCTTCTCCAATGCATGGACTGAATGAGATATTTCTCTCTTTTTCGCTCTCCCTCTATCTCTCTCTCTCAATGTCTATCTCTGGTTAGGCGCACCCGCGTAATTAAGAAATTAACGGCACATGTTTGCGGCTCTCTTTATGTGTTTCGCTGCGTCTGTCACTGTGTGCATGTGTATGTTGTATAAATGTATGCATGCATGTGTGTTTGTCAAGTGCGCCATGATAAGGGTTTGTGTAAACTTTACACTGCAAAGTCAAAAGCGAAAGCGAAAAGGAAATTGACTAGCCCAGAGAAGCACACACACACACGCATTCACATTTTATTAATCTTCCCCCTACTTCTCCATGACTTCGAGCACATCACGCGACTTTTACGGCTGCTTGTCATACTCGCATTCAAAATCGGCAATAACCACAACAACAGCACAAGAAAAACAATAACGCTAACAGAGCGTAGCAACAGCATCATACCAATTTATGTTTGTGTGTGTGTGTACACATACGCATTTTATGCAGCTACCTGAGGCGAATGTTAAAGCTCGCTTTGTTGTTCTTGTAGCAGCGCCTGCTGTTGTCTGAGCAGCAACAGCAACAGTAACAGCACTAAACATCGAAATCTCTTGCCATATGCGAAACAAAAAGAATGTGATGGTGGGTTGGATTGGGGTGGGTGTTTACAGTTTGTGCTTGTTGAGATTGTGTGGCCTTGAGTTGACATTTTCGTTAAATAGGTGCATAGATGGTTTAAGGCTCTGTTAAATGTTACACACATGCATGCACATACATATCTATGTATATAGTATGTAAATAACATATGAACAGATTAGGGTGACCCAAAATTGTTTGATTTCAAATTTAAAAACAAATAATGAATTTACTAATGAATAATTATAGATGAGCTGCAACGCTGATTTTAGCTAATTTAGCGCTAATGTAGCTGAAAATCATGCTGTTTAAGTTTCAGTTAATACGAAAGACAAAAAAAATAAATATTTATTAAACAACTTTATTTGGGTGCTAGATTTCACAGATTGTATAGCATATGAATATGCATGACTACCACCAACTCATAGCTGTCCTTCGATAATAAAATTGCATGCGCTCAGTCAGTCATGAAATTAAATTGACTGCAAATACACACACACACATACACGTATACAATACGGACGGCCAACCAAAGAGTGCGAAGGAGATGGCCTGAGCTGCTGTTGCTTTTGCTGCTGCTGCTTCGTTTGCCATGGAGCTTTCAGGTCTGCCAGTCAGTAAAAGGTGTGCATATGAGAATGTTTCTGGCAGGCAGGCAGGCAGGCATGCATGTATGTTATGTCTCTGTCTATGTATATGTGACGACATTTTGTTGCATGTCGTCGTCAACATCGAGCTGCCTACCCACCAGTGTTGGACTTTTTAGCTATTTAATAGCTTGTTCCAGACTTTTGAAAATGTACGTAATAAATATGTATGTAATATTGATGTCTGCATTAATAGTTATCAAAATTCGATTTTTTATTCGCAAATTTAAATTGAAATTTTTCTAAACTGTTTCTAGCTATTTTTTTTCTTTAAATGGCAACGATGCCTCTCTTTTTGCTCTGCTTTCTTGTTGTTGCCAGCTTGCTATTGCTTTTTGTGTGACTTTGAATTTTCGGCTGGTTTACATATGCATCGATATCTATATGTGTATGTATATGTATATGTATGTACACACATACATGGAAGTCCACAGTTACCCAGCTGGGATCGTGTTCGTGTCTAATTTGCACGACGGCAAGTTTAAAGTGACAGGGATTAAAACAGGATGTTGCATAATCCGCACGTCAGACATAAGGAACAGGATATGCTTACACAGGACAAAAAAGAAAGAAAAGAAAAGTGCACAAAAAATGCACAAGGCACAAATTTAAAAAAGACAGCAAAAAAAAAATATGGCTAAACATGTGGAAAAATCATGAATTTTTCTATATGGAAATTTTGCTTTTTATTTAATGCGTAGATAATTCAGAAGATATGCCTTTGATTTCATTGAATTCATAGCTAATTCTCTTATTTATGCTAGGATGTCAAATGCTAAACCTCAGATAAAAAAAAAACAACATATTGCTTTACAACAAGAAATTAAAAAAAAAGACACCAACAACATCTTCGTGCGTTATGGAAATTTGTACATTTTTAATGTCCGAGAGATTTGTTGAAAACATCAAATAAAATGATTTCATGTGCTATCAAATTAATTGAATCAAATAATGGGCTATTAAACTTGGAAGCAAGAAAATGAAAAAAAAAATATCAGAAAAAATGTTCGAAGCACATTAAAAATGTGTAGTGCAAATGTTTCGAAATGGGTTTCAATGAAATCAAAAATTCATTTACTAATCAATGGGTAACGTCACTTTTTTATTTGGGTAATTTCTTAAAGAGTGAGATTTAAGTTTGAAGGTTAAGTTCTGAAGCAATTTGTTGAATTTAATAAGAATTTTCTGTTATGTATTTAAAAAATATATATACAATTTTAGAATTTTGTTTTTTTTAACAATGTAATTTACGATAAATGAAAAATATGGACAAATAGTCAATGCTAATAATACAATATTTTTGGTTTTTATTGAAGGAAGCAAAGGGAGTAAATGGAATAAAAAAAATACAAAATTCAAGATGGAAAAATATATATATATTTTTTTAATATATTTTCCACTCATTAAACAAAATCAAATTATGCCAGCAGAAGAAAAATTAGAAGAATATTTTTTTTTTGATCTTTTGATCGACAACTTTGATTATGTTTCACTTAAATAGAGTTCAATAAATAAACATTTTATATATAATATATATTTTTCACTCATTTTCAAAAAATAAATGTATAGATAAATATAAAATAAAATGAGCAGAAAAACGAGTTTTTCATTGCTTTTCTTTTTTACTACAACTTTGATTGCTTTCAATTGAATTGGAGATGTAATAATATTTTTCGTTGGGTGTGCGTAGTACTCACCTTTAACTTTAGTGGTACCAATGACACCGAATTGTCCCTGAATGTGATTTTGTACTGAGAGCACTTCCATCTTCATTTCAAATTGGAATTTATCTCACTGCGTTGCCGTTGTTCGCGCTAATTGGAAACTTTCTTGACTGCGATTATCTCTGCTTCTTCTTCTACTACTACTACTACTACTATTTTTGCCGACGCGTTTTTTGTTTTTGTTGATTTATTTTTATTGTGATTTGTGGATAGTTGTAGAATTGAATAAATGTGTGTGGGTGTGTGTGTCTATATATATATATATATATATATATATATATATCTATATATATATACATATATGTGGTATATATATATATATTGTATTAGAAATGCACTTTAATCACAATAATTTGATTTGATTTTTGTGTTTTTTTTTTTTATTTAAATCTGATTTGCTTTCATTTCAATTGAAGAATTATTTCACGTTGTTTTTACGGCACACCATTTTTCTCTCTCTCTCTCTCTGTTCTATTTTGTAGCTGCTCTCTTGCTCTCTCTCTTTCACTCGTTTAACAGATAATTGCAAAAAGTATCAACAACTAAATTTGTTATTCTAGTTTTAAACATTTATATTTTAATACATTCTAAAAAACAAAAGAAAAGAAACCAAAAAAAAAAGCCGAAACTCCGTCCGTCTGTCTGTCTCAGCGTCCAACTCGATTTACTTTAACTATCTATCCGTCTCTCTCTCTTCTTTTATTTTTGAAATTTGAACGCACAGCACTTGACAATTGTTGTAGTTTTTCTTTCTTTTTTTTTTGCTTGTTTGCGAATTGGTTTGAAGTTCTACATGTGTTTTGTGTATGTGAATGGCTGCTTGCTGCTGCTGCTTGCGACGTTCCGTCCCCGTGCGTGCATCGAGTGGCGATGTGTTGCGTGCGACGGCCGCTGCTTGACTGGACACTAAAATATACAGCGATGAACGACGATGGCTTCCTCGCTCTCTGGTGCTGCTGCTGCTATTGCTCTCAACTGTCAACTCTCAACTCAAGTCGACTCGGTTCGGCTTACAGCTGTGCATGCAGCTGTGTCTCTCTCTCTCTATCTCTTAATTTGCGAGTGTGGGTGAAGAGTGTGTTTAGTTTGCTGCCAGCTGGAGAATAAAAGCTTGGCACAACAACTACAAGAACAACAAAATGGAGAGCAGCGGCAACAACACCAACAACAGACTGCTGCCACACACACAACGGGATATGACGATGGCTGAGAGGAGCTTGGGCAGCAACTTCTGTGACGGAGCAGTTCTCCAAAGCTACTATCCGGCCGGCGAGGCACGCACCCGCTTTTATAGTGAATTTTCCGATAGGCTGCAGCGCTGCAAGCGTCGCTGTCGTTAACGTGTGAGAGACTTTTCCCCTTGGCCGTGAATTGACCATGTATTGAGAGAGTCAAATGAGTGCATGAGCGCATGCGCTCTTCCTCTCTCTCGCTCTTTATTAGCCTCTTTTGAGTGATTTGGAACAGCTGCACTCGTTTCGTCATCAGCTGTTGTTGCACTGCTCCGCATTCCACTCAAAGGGAGAGCGAGTGAGTTGGTTACTCTTTCGAGGTGTGCTCTTTTATTTAAGAGCATCACAGCAAAAGAACTCAAGAGCAATTCGAGCGTCCATTACAATTGAGCGCATCTCAATGGAATGAGTGCTTTCGCATAACAGCAGCAAAGAGTTCAAAATATATTTGCCTTCCGTTAGATCAGACAATAATCGCATTTACTTAACTGCGCGCTTGCACACGAAAGACAAGGACTGAGTGTTGCTGCTACCTTCACATACACATTCAACGTTGCTGCTATTTTCGCTTACATTCACAATCCTTTGACACCTAGCAGACAAAGTCTGCAGCTGCTCGCACACTTGGTCTCTATTCTACTACTATTTTACTATCATCTACTACTATTCTACTGCCATCTACTACTATTCTACTACTATTCTACTGCTATTTTACTACTATTCTACTACTACTCTACTACTGTTCCATTACTATTAAACTAATATTCCACCATTATTCTACTAATATTCTACTGCTATTCTACTACTATTCTACTACAATTATAGTAATATTCTACTACTATTGCACTACCATTCCACTACTATTTGACACCTCCTTGGATCTACTGCTTATCGATGCTACTGATAGATTCAGGTATTTTTATCCATTTTTCCAAATCCATCGGAGACTCAAGTTAACTTGACCTACAAATGAGTAGAAATTTATAAAATTTGATGTAATTACAGTGTCAATTTAATTATTTGAGAGTTAATTTTTAATTACATTTACAATTCCAAAGTACAATTCATATTACATTTGCATCATTTTTATATTTATTTTGGGCGAATAAGCATTTTAACATTTTTGATTAGGTCATACCAAAATATATTATCACCCTTCCAGTCCTTTGAACTATCATAGTACTTTGAATTGAAGCTTCTGTAGAATAAAAGAAGAAAACAGTTAAATATATAAATAGAGATGAAGAAGAGAGTCATTTACTTACCTTATTCCACAAAAGTTAGGGTACCACCATCCACCAAGGTATTTTAATGCACAATTGCCATCCTCCCAGCCATCATTATCACGATCATATGTTGAAAATTTCTGTTTGTTAAATTGTGACATTATATATGTGGCATTGCCACCGCATCCACTGAAGCTCAGCTGGTATTCATCGCTTTCGCCAGCAATGGCAAATTGTTGATATCTCGCATATCTAACTTTGCCATTAAATTTCTCCAGATGTACATAGAGTTCAAAGCGTTTGTAGCTCGTCAAGCGATGGATCTTCTCAAAGCCCAAGAAGAAGTCTCCATCGAAGGAACCAAAGCCTTCGCGGTATGTTGTCCAAGACCTGTTGAAATCTTCTTTGCCATTGATTCGCTGCTGGATAACTATCCATCCAGGACCTGCTGTCTTCGAGTCGCATAAGACATCAAAGGAGTAATGAGAAAAACTGATTTTATGAACACAAGGAGCATCTCCAAAAGATGTGCAATTAATCTCCTTTAAGTCCTCCAATTTCACATCGCTTTTGTTGACATCGTTTTGTAATTTGGATATTTGTTGATTCTTTTCCTCAATGGATTTCTTATCTTTCTCCAACTGTATCTGAAACTCCTTCGATTTGACTGCCTCGCTATTAATATGATCTTTTAATTTGGAAATTTCCTGGTTCTTTTGGTCAATATTTTTCTTCTGTTCCTCCAACTGTTTCTGAAACTCCTTCGATTTGATTGCATCGCTTTCGATTTGAAGTTTTTGTTTGGTGATTAAATCACTTGTGCATTCCTCACATTTCTGTGAATTGAGCTTATTTAATTCATTCCTGATTGATTGCAAATTCTTTAATTCATTCCTGATTGATTGCAAATTGTCATTGTTATTCTTGTATAAATCTATCTGATTTCTCAATTCCTGTATGAAGGCGACATTTTTATTTTGATCAACTAGTTTCATCTGCAACTCCGTGATTTTAGAGTCCTGCCTTGCTGTTCTGTTTCTCAGTTCCTGAATGATAGTTTCATATACATTTTGCTGTAACTGCTTTAATTCATTGTCCTTACTGCTGATCAATCCCTTATTAATCTGCTCTCTCAATTCTAATTCAAGTTGGGATATCTTCAATTGTTTCTCTTCTATTTCCCTATTCATAGTGGATGTTTTATTATCATAGTTCTCCACTTCTGTCCTCATCAATTCCATGTAGATGAGCAGTGGTTTGATGGCCTTATAGGCATATGATCCGCATTGTTCCTCCTCTCTCCTTGATGCTTTGCAGATCTGATATAATTTAGAATTGGAATAACTCGCTTGTCTAATATAATTAATTCTTATTTATTCACCTCATTTTTTGTAGTTGCGAAAGAGGATTCGCCTTTGATCAGGATCAGACTTATGCTTAAAGTAAATGCAACCCAATTTAATTCCATCTCTTCCTGCTATGGCCAGCTGGTCTCAATAGAATTAGATGTAGACTAATTCTTCAGAGTCGGACTACCGACATTTTATAGCATTTTATATGCATTGAACGATGCTGTTATCAAGTACCACTGATAATAGACGACGTCAATGGCTTTAGGCGAACCTGGATCAGGTGATGATTTCGAGCTTTTGCTCAAATTTGTTTAGTTCACGGCAACAGATAAGCGTAGACAGACAGGTCGCACGTGCATATATATATATATATATATGTATATTTATATATGTTTATTTATTTCGCAGTAACGTCAAAATCATATTTGACAGAATCATAATAGATGAACAAATAAATGGGAATAGTTTCAATTGTGTCTACTGTAGATGAATATTTATAAATATAAACATAACCTCAATCATAAGAAGATCCGCCACATACAGATAAAATAACAATAATAATACGATTCTCAATAATAACGGTGTGCAATGTAGTTCAATCAATAATAAAAGTTTATTTCTTTATTTTAATTATTTTTATTTATTTTTTGTTTTATTTGAATGTACATAGGTGTATTAGGTTTTTAACAATAATAAATAAAACAAGCAAGAATGCTGTAGTCGAGTGAGCTCGACTACGATATACTCTGCATCCATCCCTGCTGTTAATTATATTTTAAATAAAAACATAGCAAATGCAGCGCATATTTTTATTCACAAGCCCGAACTAATTCTAATTGGCTGGCGGCAAACAGGTGCATACACATGCATACTTACACACATACATATGTACAGGCAATCGCAGGTAACGGTGCTCTGCAGAATACACACAAAGACAAATTGACGCTTGCGTCGATTATCATGCCATCTCTTTCTCACACATGCAGAAAATGCTTGATAGAAATGAGTTGAATATGAGAATATACTTTCGACTATAACTTGGCTGTTTCTCATCCAATCTTGATGAAATTTGGGCAGTTCATCAATAATATGCATATGCATATTATGTATTAATAAGAAGATTCTGCCTTCAATATTGTAGCATTTATTGCTATCGGAAATTGAAATGTATCGATATTCGAGACACAAGCAGTTATCGATAAAATAAAGCGAACTTGATCTGCGACGGGTATACGGGAGCGTATATGCCAAATGTGAAGTCTCTAGCTCTTATGGTCTCTGACAGACAGACGGAATTGGCTATATCGATTAAGTTGTTGACCCTGATCAAGAATATATATACTTTATGGGGTCGTTACATACAGTTGCACAAAACCAATATACCCTGATTAACCATTTTTAGTGGGTACAGCGTATAAATAGCACAACTACGGCATTCTTATTTGTTACTAATCAAAATATAAACAATAAGTTTTTGTATTTTTTGTCAAATTGAAGCTTAAAGATTATAATATTATTTACTATCTATATATGTATATAGGTGTATGTTTTGCATATATATATATATGTATATATATATATGTATATATATATATATATGTGTATATGTTATATCAGATAAGGTATTCCATATTCGGTAGTTGGCTTGCCCTTGTTTCTTGCCTTATAATGCCTTGCACGTCTTACCAATAAAATCAACAACAATAACAACAACAAGAAAAAGTAGGCGCAATCCTTTAAGTTTTGGTTACAACGCAATCGCAGTTCCCTCTCTCCCTCCTCCCCCTCCCCATCACACTTTGGACCCCTTACCCGCCTCGTTGGGCAAGTTGCCTTCATATCGATTTTCATGTGACTTTTGTAGACGTGTTTGGTTTTTATTGATTTTCACTTGATTCTCTCACATCCACATCCCATGGGCAACCACAGCAGCAGCAGCAACAGCAGCAGCAGCAGCAGCAGCAGCAGCAGTTGAATGTGGGCAGAGGCAGTTGGGGGCAGCTCTAATGTCAGGATCATGCGAGGTTATCAACATAATTTCCACTCGTGCCGCCAGTCTTTACACCTACCAGCCCACCCACACACACACACACACACACATGCATGACCACTAAGGCTATTTTCCACATGTTTCTAGTTTATGATGTAGTAAGTTTTCCTTTCTTTTCTTTTCTTTTCATTTTTTTGTGCATTTTTTTTGCTGTGCGAACCACAATGTTTTTCTGCTTGTTGTTTTGCTTGTTCTTATTGTTGTTGTGTTTGTTGTTGTTGTTATTGTTGTTGTTGCTGATGATGATAATGATGGAAGCGTGTGCGGTTTGATAAGACCAACAATTCGGATCAATTATTTTTGGTTTCAGTTTCGTTTTCAGTTTCGTTTTTGTTTTAGTTTTCACTTTAAGTTGCTTAAAAGTTGAAAGCTGTTAAAACGACTACAAATTCGGTTGAGCTCGACTAGCAGATACCCTGTATATAATAAACACTAGCATTTCCACTCTAAAAAAATGTAGGCAAAATTGCGCTGGGAATATTTTGATAAAATCAATCAGTGCCAATTGTTCAGATTTGAGATTTATCTCAAAATGCAAAATATGTATTTCTATCAGCAGTCATTATAATTATAACTGGGATACATGCACTGCGATCTACCCGAGGATGCTGCATCTAATTCCAGTTGAGGCGACACACTCCCTGCCCAGCTCTCATTTTTTTTTTTCATTACATTTCATCATTTCCAAAAAGCCATTCAAAAAAACAGGAAATCTTCAGAAAAAAATTGCAAAATATTCTCGCAATTTGAGTAATAAGTATATATGTATATATATATGTGTTCATAAATCTCTTTGGCTGCAAGTGACACATACATACGGATTTCGTAGCTTATCATGCTGTGGCTACATATATATTTATAGAGTTGTGTGCGACTGCTGATAGTAGTTTGTGCAAACTGATAGACAGACAGACGCGCTTGTTGATGTTGGTCAAGAACATACATATATATGTATTTATATATAAATACATTTATTTTGTTTGGCTGTTAGACTAAGTATAACTTTATTCAGTGTATAATTATAGTTGGGGGTATCGAGCGCAGTATCGATATATCTGTTATTAACATTAGTAATCGGAATTTTGTATTGATCTTTTACAAATTTGCATCATATATCCATATTTTATTTGACTCTTTTTGGGGAACCATCTCCAGAGAGAGAGAGAGAGAGAGAGAGAGAGAGAGAAAAGAAAAAAGGGAAAAGAAAGAGGAAGAGACCGCATGCGCATGCGCTGCGGAAAGATTTATTTAAAAAGAAGAAATTCAAATAAATTAGTTATGAATAAATTATGAAGTAATTATATATACAAAAAAAATAATATAAAATAAATAAATTTAAGACAAAAAAACAAATAAATAAAATAAAAACATTCAAACCGACGGCAGCAACAGGCGGAACTCTCCATCGCCACCGTCAAGGAGGAAATCGCCAGGGGCAACTGGACTCAGGAACCAGGAAGTTGAAGCCCGGAGACCCTGAGACGACTCGGAATATACCAACACACCTGTGAGTTTGTTCCCGCCAAATTGCGGCAGATTGGGTCAAAGACAGCTGATCGGCCCTAACCAATGCAATAGAGATGCTCATTTTGTCACTCAGTGATGCGCACTTTTGAAGCCAAATAAAATAAGGAAAATAAAAATCAAAAATATTTTGTAAGCTTTAAATGAAGTAAATAGATACAATTGTACTAAATATATAAAAGCGAATTTAGTGTTGGCCAACAAAATGTAGGGATCACAATGTCACATGGATCACACGAGTTGCAAATTAAATAGACTGAAAAAAATGAATAAATTAATGTAATCGGGTGAGATGAGGGCAGAAGAAACAAGTGAAAAAGGAATAATTGTGAAAGGGAATTTCTCCAGGAAATTTATAGGAGGAACTTGCCGCCCAATATATCGCGGTCGAACTACCCCTGAGCCGATAGCTAGCCGGCTGAGCGATATATTGATGCTTTCGACAGGCAAGGCATAAATATATTTGCCTTCCGTTAGATCTGACAATAATCGCATTTACTTAACTGCATGCTTGCACACGACAGACAAGGACAGAGTGTTGCTGCTATCTTCACATACATTCATAACCCTTTGACACCTAGCAGACAAAGTCTGCAGCTGCTCGCACATATGCACGGCTTGGTCTCTATGCTACTACTTTTCTACTGCAATTATACTGCTATTCTACTACTATTCTACTACTATTCCACTAATACTATTCTACTACTACTCTACTACTGTTCCATTACTATTCTACTAATATTCTACTACTATTATACTAATATTCTACTACTATTCTACTACAATTATAGTAATATTCTACTACTAATGCACTACCATTCCACGACTATTTGACACCTCCTTGGATCTACTGCTTATCGATGCTACTGATAGATTCAGCTATTTTTATCCATTTTTCCATATCCATCGGAGACTCAAGTTAACTTGACCTACAAATGAGTAGAAATTTATAAAATTTGATGTAATTACAGTGTCAATTTAATTATTTGAGAGTTAATTTTTAATTACATTTACAATTCCAAAGTACAATTCATATTAAATTTGCATCATTTTTATATTTATGTTGGGCGAATAAGCATTTTAACATTTTTGACTGGGTTATACCAAGATATACCATCATCATCCCAGTCCTTTGAACTATCATAGTAAATTGAATTTAATTTACTGTGGAATAATAGAAGAAAACAGTTAAATATATAAATAGAGATGAAGAAGAGAGTCATTTGCTTACGTAACTCCACAAAAGTTAGGGTACCACCATCCACCAAGGTATTTTAATGCACAATTGCCATCCTTCCAGCCATCATTATCACGATCATATGTTAAAAATTTCTTATTATTGTTATATATTGACAACATATCCATGTCATTGCCACTGAATCCACTGAAGCTCAGTTTGTATTCATCGCTTTCGCCAGCAATGGCAAACTGTTGATATCTCGCAAATTCTATTTTTCCTTCAAAGTTCTCCAGATGTACATAAAGTTCATGGGGTTTGTAGCTCGTCAAGCGATGGATTTTCTCCAAGCCCAAGAAGAAGTCGTCATTAAAGGAACCAAAGCCTTCACGGTATGTTGTCCAAGACCTGTTGAAATCTTCTTTGCCATTGATTCGCTGCTGGATAACTATCCATCCAGGACCTGCTGTCTCCGAGTCGCATAAGACATCAAAGGAGTAATTGGAAAAACTGATTTTATGAACACAAGGAGCATCTCCAAAAGATGTGCAATTAACCTCCTTTAAGTCCTCCAATTTCACATCGCTTTTGTTGACATCGTTTTGTAATTGGGATATTTGTTGATTCTTTTCCTCAATGGATTTCTTATCTTTCTCCAACTGTATCTGAAACTCCTTCGATTTGACTGCCTCGCTATTAATATGATCTTTTAATTTGGAAATTTCCTGGTTCTTTTGGTCAATATTTTTCTTCTGTTCCTCCAACTGTTTCTGAAACTCCTTCGATTTGATTGCATCGCTTTCGATTTGAAGTTTTTGTTTGGAGATTAAATCACTTGTGCATTCCTCACATTTCTGTGAATTGAGCTTATTTAATTCATTCCTGATTGATTGCAAATTCTTTAATTCATTCCTGATTGATTGCAAACTGTTTAATTCACTCCTGATTGATTGCAAATTGTCATTGTTACTCTTGTATAAATCTATCTGATTTCTCAATTCTTGTATGGTGGCGACATTTTCATTTTGATTAACTAGTTTCTTCTGCAACTCCTTGATTTCAGAGTCCTGCCTTGCTGTTCTGTTTCTCAGTTCCTGAATGATAGTTTCATATACATTTTGTTGGTCCAACTTTTGCCGCTTTAATTCGCTGTCCTTGTTGATGATCTGTTGCCTCAATCCCTTATAAATCTGCTCTCTCAAATTCTTTATTGAATCTGATTTATATTGGGATATCTTCATTTGAAGGCCTTTAATTTCCCTATTCTTAATGGATGTTATATTATCATAGTTCTCCACTTCTGTCCTCATCAATTCCATGTAGATGAGCAGTGGTTTGATGGCCTTATAGGCATATGATCCGCATTGTTCCTCCTCTATCCTTGATGCTTTGCAGATCTGATATAATTTAGAATTAGAATAACTCGCTTGTCTAATATAATTAATTCTTATTTACTCACTTCATTTTTGGTAGATGCAGTTGCGAAAGAGGATTCGCCTTTGATCAGGATCAGACTTATGCATAAAGTAAATGCAACCCAATTTAATTCCATCTCTTCCTGCTATGGCCAGCTGGTCTCAATAGAATTAGATGTAGACTAATTCTTCAGAGTCGGACTACCGACATTTTATAGCATTTTATATGCATTGAACGATGCTGTTATCAAGTACCACTGATAAAAGACGACGACAATGGCTTTAGAGGAACCTGGATCAGGTGTTGATTTCGAGCTTTTGCTCAAATTTGTTAAGTTCACGGCAACAGATAAGCGTAGACAGAGAGGTCACACGTGTATATATATATATATATATATATATATATTTATATATATTTATTTAATTCGCAGTAACATCAAAATATAATAGATATTTAATTATTTATTACAGAATTAGTGCTCATTTTAGAAACGATTGAACTTAGTTCCCCATTTTTAGATACAAATGATGAGCATCAAATCTTAAAGTGGACGATCTTAAAGAGAGTAGACAAATAAACGGGAATACTTTCAATGTGTCTACTGTAGAAGAACATTTATAAATATGATTTTAAAGTTCAGTTTGAAGATGGAATATCTGTTGATCTTCATTTGAAATGTGTATTCCAATAATAACAAATGCAGGCAGTTGGAAGCAACTTCGATCAATTTAAACATGTACAGTTTGTCAATAAAGTGTTTGGACACAGGAAAAATTGAATATTTTCTTATATTGTTTGCAGGTATTTTGGACTGATAAACATAACCTCAATCATAAGAAGATCCGCCACATACAGATAAAATAACAATAATAATACGATTCTCAATAATAACGGTGTGCAATGTAGTTCAATCAATAATAAAAGTTTTTTTTCTTAATTTAATTATTTTTATATATTTTCTTTTATTTTTTGTTTTATTTAAATGTCCATAGGTGTATTAGGTTTATAACAATAATAAATAAAACAAACAAGAATGCTGTAGTCGAGTGAGCTCGACTACGATATACCCTGCATCCAGCTGTTAATTATATTTTAAATAAAAACATAGCAAATGCAGCGCATATTTTTATTCACAAGCCCGAACTAATTCTAATTGGCTGGCGGCAAACAGGTGCATACACATGCATACTTACACACATACATATGTACAGGCAATCGCAGGTAACGGTGCTCTGCCGAATACACACAAAGACAAATTGACGCTCGCGTCGATTATCATGCCATCTCTTTCTCACACATGCAGAAAATGCTTGATAGAAATGAGTTGAATATGAGAATATACTTTCGACTATAACTTGGCTGTTTCTCATCCAATCTTGATGAAATTTGGGCAGCTCATCAATAATATGCATATGCATATTATGTATTAATAAGAAGATTCTGCCTTCAATATTGTAGCATTTATTGCTATCGGAAATTGAAATGTATCGATATTCGAGACACAAGCAGTTATCGATAAAAATAAAGCAAACTTGATCTGCGACGGGTATACGGGAGCGTATATGCCAAATGTGAAGTCTCTAGCTCTTATGGTCTCTGACAGACAGACGGAATTGGCTATATCGATTAAGTTGTTGACCCTGATCAAGAA